GGGCTTAAAATGGCTAAAAGCTCCTCTGTTTGGTTATGTCAATAATGTTTTCAGCTGTATTTTCAAAGTTATGGTTACTTACTTCCTGCCTGTTTTAATAATAATGACTACATTTATATTACATTATTTTCAAAGCTATATTTCAACAGCCAATATTATTGGAACATATATAATTGAAATCTCGAAATATGAGAGTAAGAATATTTTAACTATTCATATAATAAAATATTCAATGTGTACTGTCTACTTGAATATAATCATATAATTGTTAAGAACTTAAATATCGGGATAGAAGAAGCTTTGGTTATAAATACTACACACAAAGAATTAAATTTTCGTAGAATTTATTTTAAGAAAACTTTGTTATCTATTTATGTAATTTCTTAAGGTTATTTTGAAGCTATCTGTATATGAGTAATTTTGTATAAATTTATTTCAAATATTTAAATATTCATCTTAACAATTATTTCGAACCATCAATAACTGACACAAGATCCTTACCAGCTAATCCTGCTTGTAAAATTCATTTCCTGACACACACAAAGAAATATACTGTTTCATATGATCTGTGTTGACTCCAGAAGACATACGAAAAATGGATGTGTTGACAGGATTATGATTAAAACTTCAATAAATTATCAAAACTTCACAATTATCAAAACATTATCAAAACACGAGCCAAATTCATTACAAATGGTATTGCAGTGCACTCTATGTTTATTCAAAATAATAATATTATAATGAGAAAATGATCCATTAAATAGAGGATTTAATACTTTATAAGTATGTTTAAAGTATTTTTGGAAAAGCAGAAACTGAATGTGTTTATTCAAATATCAATTCACATTAAAATCATTTAAATCGTATTTAAGTCTTTAAGCTTTATTGCATTTAGGGTTGCTGTTATAAAAATCATTCAAACACTGCTATTTAGACCTAGTAAATTTTTGAATGTAAGCATTATTGATTCAAATTGTTTTGCTATATTTTGAACGAATGTTTTTATTTTCATAGAATGGTTTCTTAAATCATAGAGTGTTTGCAAATGAACGCATTAGATTCGTTTCCTCTGAATATTTCTTAATAAATAAAGCCAAAAATTATTAATAAATATTAAAATATGCAGATCAAGCTATAAATATAGCAGTTTGGAAGGAAAAGTCAACACCGTTATGTTGATTAATAATAGATTAATCAACGTAACGGAGAAAATAATGATTTGGTTTTCTTAGTCTTCAAAATCTAGAATTGAACCAAAGCATGAAGATTTATCATGGCACAAAAATCAAAAATTATAAAAACAAGTTTCAAATTAAAATAAAAGAATTATCTTTTGTTATAAAAACTAAGAAATGTGATGCCAGACTCTGTTGATATTAGTATAAAAGGCTGCCAGTCTTAGAATTTTCCCAAACCTGTTTTCTACTAGAAAACATAATTAATATGTCAATGCCATGAACAATAATTTTGACATGTTATCAAAAGCTGTTATTAAGTTTAAGTTTAGCGTGAAATATTGTACTCTGTCGAATTTGTAGCTGCTTATTTGTAACAATTAAAAATAAAAAAACTGCGTAATCAAAACATGGAAATTCTCAATGCACGTCATAACTTAATCTTTTTTATATACTTTAGATTTTATTCATTGTGTTTGAATTTAATAGTGAAAGAATTCATGTAAAATATTTGTTTATTTCAGTTCTAATAAATTTAGAATACGAAATTAAAACATGTTTGTCAACTGCAGATTATGAAATGAATGTATGTTGATAATGATGTTCAATGTTTGTCTGAGAAGAATTCATTTGTAATCATTCAAACTTAGAGAAAATTTACTGCAGAAAGTGTGGCAGTTCTTTTTACCGAAACGTGCCTTTTAAATTGTACGTGTGGAGCTGTGTACAGGTGGACACGTTTCAGTACAACACACACTATAAGCTTTAAAATAAGCACTTTAAAAGTTACTTTAAAATAAGCACTTTAAAGCCTGTACGACCCTTCTTCATTTGCAATCGTAAACATGTGTCGTCATCTCAACAAGGCTATTAATTTCGTTATTTTCGCTACTTCATTTGGGATTATACTTCAAGTTAGCCTTTTGTAGTACGCTTTTCGAGAAGCGAAATTTGCTAAATAGAAGTGAAATGAGACCAATTAGAGGACTCGATCATCAACTGTCATTACCATCATTATGAGATAAACTGGGCGTGAAGAAATGACCCTGAATTGCCTAGAGACAAAAAGCAGCGACAAACCGTAGTGGCCTAAGTACTTCTTGTGCTTCTGTATACTGATTGAAAAGGCATTTTTTTAATCAGACTCAGAAATCGTTTTTCGAAATATTGTTTAGGGAATGTCTGAATCATATTTATTTAAATATCAGTTATAATCGAATTTTTTCATCTCATCAGCCCTGCTTGAATATTCAAAGCAGTCAGACATCAGAAGACAATAAATCAATTTGATAGGCAGGATAATCTAACTGGAAAATCGATTTTTCTCCTACCCCAAGAAAGTGTCTCACAAGGAGAGTGTCATTATGCATGTGTATATGAGACTCGAATATAAAACTGTCGTTTTTTAGACAGCAAATTAGCTACTGCATTTAACCCACTCTGAGACAAATGCAATGAAGGGAGAGTAACTAAAATTTACTTTTAGTTCTTTGTTAGCTGTGAGTTTAATCTAAATTTGATGATTCTGTTGTATTTACATTGGCAAAGGATCTAATACCAATTCGGTATATTCATCTTTAAAACATTCTGGAATCGCTCAGTAAAATCAGCACGAAGAAACGTCTAAGTGTTAGCAATGAATAAGTAAACCCTGTTTTGTAGAGACTGCTGGCATTGCCGGAAAGTTGCTGTATTTACCTCTGCCTAGATTTCGTTTGAACAGAAAAAGAAATGTTTTTTCCATGAAATCCATTGTGTCTTTCTTTTTTTTAATTAAATTTAACTCATCTACTTTCAAATGTAGATTGGGTTTATTAAATGTTATAAACAGGTATGTCAAAAAAGCGATATCATTTTGGAAGAAATAAGAGTTTCACGCTATTACAGTTCCTTCTGTTAAAGATCTCAACACTAACAAACAGTGATATTCGGCTTTTATCGGTTGCACCTACCCTTTATCTTCTTGTGTCCCATAAGTTTTTTCATCTTCTTTGAAAGGTTGTCCTTGACACTTTTAAAAATTAAGAGCCTTCATAAATTACTAAAAATGTATACAAAAAAAAAATTCCTGCTTCAAAAAGAAAATTTCTTCTTGTAATTTTAGCAATAATCCAAAGAACAGATTTAGAAACATAATTAGAAAAAATAATACATTACTTTATTAACTCAAAGAGTAACAATAATTTTTAAAATACAAATTCTGATGCTTGCTAACAGGACATATTATCATCTGTGTTTCAACCTAACATTTAACTTATGTTATGATTAACCAATAATTTAACTTACAGCTATCCATCATTTATCATTCTTTAACTCTTTCGCATCGACAGAGGCCACCATATGTTTCCCTCAAACATCTGAAACTCCCATATATAGGAATTTCTGTGGTAATAGATTTCCTCCCTCCTGCTTAGTAGACTGCTACAGCGTTGACAATAACTCACATAAGTGAAGTGATCTCGTCTCCCTTGGGGATCTTTCCGCTTTCTCTCATTGAGTGCAGTTCGCCCTTAGGACAGGACTGTAACTGAGAGCATCAGTAGCTAAACTTTGACGCTAAGCAAAGTAAAAGAAAGGCGCATCCAAATAAGAGAGCTACTTAATAACTTTAAATGAATTATTGGCATATCATTTAACAACTGTCGAAAGCAAGGAGCCATGCACTTAAAGTGATGGGAAAAGTACTAAGTAGAAATGTAGGAGTTTGAGCGATCTCTCGATCTCTGAATGCACGGGCGTTACGGGCATCTTAGCTGTGAATAGTTAATTGGTTTTTATTTGAACAGTGGACACTCGGTGAAAAAATGCCCGTAGAAAGTAACGTGCTGTAAAATAAAATTTTGAATAAATAACGACAAAGTAATATGTGTAACAAGCATAGTAATTGAAAATCAATAATTTGGGAGTCTTGAAATGTGTAGAAAATGAATTTTTCAACCATTCAGCCATTAAATCAAGTAAACTAAATTTCTGTTTATCTGTGTAATTAAGGAATTTTAACAGACATGACTAATCCAAAAACCACTTGCCAAAATTAACATCTTCAGAGATTTGTTAAAGGACGTATGTTATTTACAGCGGTATGTTTTAAAAAGCAAGGTTTACCTAAAATAATGGTAAAACTTGTATAAATTCTGAAAATATCGGCTACTTTTCTTTTCTCCAAGCCAATATTGATTTGCACAGTATAAAAACATACATATGTGCAATATAAAGACTGACTATAAAGAAAGACTCGAACTCTGTATGTTAACTCTTCAATTTTAACCAGTTTTGTAGTCTTAATAAATCGTCTACACATTATAGTAACTCATTTTTAAGTTCCTTTTTATTTTCCTCTTTTTCATATTTTCCATCCATTGACTAATTTCTGTCAAAATAAATCCTTAATTTTTCAATTAAATCGTCTTTTGGAATACTTATGTTATGTTTTCTTTACCTCCGTTTCGAAAACCAAGTTTTCAGTAAGAATTGATTACTCGTTAGAAAAAGACTTTTTGGCACGATGCTTAGATAACCTGCAAACGAATAATTAGAGCATTATGCATCGAAAGGCATTATGTTGTATTTCCATCAAAATGGATTTTTAATCAATACAAATAGCTGAACAAAAGCTATTTAAAGTTTAAAAATACCAAGCAATAGCTCCGTAATTGAACCATTTCTAATTTTCAGATTTGTATATCCATGAAATATAAAATTTTACTGTTCTTAAATGAATAAAAATGTTATATTGTTTGTAATTCAATTCTTAAAGCTTAATTTTGAATTTTTTTATTTAGAGTTAGACATTTTATGCTTGCGTTTTTTTCTTCACTTTTACAGCAATCCCTGTGTGCAGAGATGGCGGAGGAGCTTCGCTTCGCCGTGAAGTGCCGAGCTTCCCGCCAACGCCCAGCCTTGCGTCGCCAATGCTCCAAGTGCATCCCCGGGACAACCTATGTCCCAGCCGCGATGGAAGTGCCCCAGGAGAATGGCATCATGCAGATGATAGAGATGAGGAAATCGCCCATCAACTTCGACTGTGGCGATTCCTAGTCTCACCAGAGAACAGCAACAGCAGTATCAACAACAGCCCGCTACACTGAGCGGCGACTTCAGCGCCCCCAAAGGGGTCATCATCTCTGTCCTGAGTTGGACCGAAACAAAAATATCATTTAGCACGCTTTCGCCGTCATTTTCTACCCATTTGGCATAGCTGAATAAAAGAAATTCCATCTTGATATAGAATTGATTCAGCAGAAAGCCTTTTGGAATATAGATGGCAGTTGGCTTGCTGACCATTAACTTCCAATATGTAACGTCATCAACTTCAGAACGACATTGGAATCTGTTGCATTTCTTGGAGATGATAAAATGATTGTATCATTCGTAGTAAATCCCATCCTTTACGTTTTGTACATCATATTATTTTGTTTTTACCAGTGATATATATATTGTAATCATTCTGATTACTGTACTGTCAAAATGGAATGTGCTGATTTTATTGTCGATGTATGTTTACTGAATATCATTGAGGGCTTTTCAATGAACGTTGATCTTAGCAAATTATGAATTTTAAAGAACTTTCCGGATGTCTATCTCAGGAATCATTATCGATTCTAGATGTCCCTTCATGTATCCTGTAACAGCAATGCTGTGCTTAAGAAGTTAAACTTTTACACTTGGGAACGTTATGAGCTTTATCCGACCACAAAGACCACGTTCTCGGATGCTGAGCTTTACAGGTGCAGACAATGGGCAATTAAAATATGATCGACGTATTTTTATGGAATCCTATATGTAATTTAAAATTTATTGTAGCAACCATTTTATAATGGAAAGGCTATAAACTGTGCTCAAACAAAAAGAAAATCTCATAATCAGGTCACAATTGAAGCAAAATTCTCGATATGTTTACTTTCATTATGATAGCTTTTGCGTGTACCGCAAGAGATAATTAGTAAATTATTAACTGCTGATTTTAGATATCCTTTACCTCTGGTAAGGTGTTTTTAGTGAAATATTTAAATATGCTATGAAACCTTTCATCAAAGATTACTGTTATGATGAATTTTTATTTGAATATTAGAACAAACATTGCCTAATTTAAATGTTTGACTGTTTGCCAACTCATACTCTACTATTTATAGTTGCAGAAAAGTATGTCAGTAGTAACCGCTATTTAGACTTAGTTTAGTACTAGATTTAGACAGGTATTTCTAACATTTACCACTTTTTAGATCCGAACATGAATTTTCTTCGTATACGTCTCAACATTAATCGCATTATTTCAAATTTATCTCATTCCTTTAAGTTCATGAAAATGATTTATTTATTTGTGATATCTTTGAGCTGGGGACCATTATTTAGAAACTTACTATTCATCGAATGTTACGAAGAAGGAAAAAGCTGTAGTATATCATTTTTACAATGTAAACTAAATAAAAGTTGCGAAACTGGAATCTAAGAATAAGAAAGTATATCTAATGTTGCTTATGAAATTAAGGATAAGTTTGCCTGTTTAAGATCATGTAAAAGCTTTCACTCAACATGAATTTTGTCTTCGGGTAATGTAAACAACAGTACATACAAAATTTTAAAGAATGTCTTGTAAACACATAGCAGTTCCAATAAGTATGGCGAAGGTTTAAATTACAAACATTTTATCAAATTCGCATATTTTATTCTATATCTAAACCTGAAGGGCTCTAAATTTAAATTACATTTATAACCTTTTTCTTTTGAAGCGTTATAACAGCTATGTTTTCAGATAACTTGATATCATAAAACGTGCACAATCATCAGACATTGCTATAAGAAAAGCAAGCCGATAGGAATGCAGTTTCTTAACATTAGAAATCTGTTATTTAATTCCAACTACACATTTAACAAATTTTTATCTGGAAATATGATGCAGATTATTTAGTAATACAGTAATTCACAGTAATAATAAATTTATTCATTTGATGTTTCCAAATAACGCGGTTAAGAAATTGATAGGGATAATAATGTAATATAACAGAAGTATGAATAATCGTAACAAGTATGAACACGGTAACGAATTGGAAACTTTCCCTAAATCACAGAAATAACTGAAAACAATAAAAATAAAAATATAATTATAAGTATCAACACAAATACGTGTATAAAAACAAAATGTGGTAGATAATAAATAATTATAGTTAATTAATATAATAAGTACATAAGCAATTTAAAATTTAAGTATAAAAGCACGTAATGAAATGTTGTTACGGAATAATTATTGATAATGCGTTTATTCAACAAATGTGATTTATGATTGGAACGATTCCTTTAGTTATGGACAATATAAGGCATCCACGAAAAGCAGACGTTAAATTTCAGAACACGAGTAGCATCCTGATTTTTGTATCAGTTGAATTTGTAAGATTTCTGTATGAAAATGTGAGAGTACTTTCTTCCAAACTATATGATTTTACACGCAAGCGCAATAACCAGTTATAATATTTAGCTCAATTTATCTTTTTGAAATAAGATGTCTTCGATAATATTATTTTTAATCCTGCACTCTAAGTAAAAGTTTACAAATCATTAAAGATACTAGAATACTAATAAAGAAGCAATAAATAGAAACCTTTAAAACACTCCTGCAGTATATCTCTAAAAAATGCATTGCGCGTTTGAATGGTCTGTTTCGTAAAATATGATGATGAAGTTTGTTTGCTGATTTCGTAAATAAGTACTAAATACACCAGCACTTATCTATTTATAAAACTTTGATTGACATACGAATAAATTTAATAACCGAAGCATCCTGATATCGCTATTATATAAGATGGTTTCACATTTTTCTAAATGTTTGAAGCTATACGAATAAGTGACAAATTATCTTGGTACATCCTTTTAACGTAAAATTTAGCGAATAAGAAATGCATTATCTTAGCATATTTTTAGAGATTAAGCTGCCTGCCAGTACGATGATCCTTATCAATTTTTACAGTGCAGTTTTCACAATCGCACTTTACGATAAATTACTTTATAGATTATTGAAAACAAACGCATGTTTAACATACATTATACGCAAAACAGATTAAATTTAAAATAATATTTATAGAGCAATATATCTCAAATTTACGCTCATGGAAAGTTATTTATATAAAAATCATTCCTAATGGGAGATATTTTTACATGCGGTTTCTATATCTATATTTTCGTTTGTTGGCTTTGCCTATTGTCAGTTTTTGAAGTTACCATGGAAACACAATACAAAAAAAAATAAACAGTACGCGTTAAAAAACACTTAGGAAGGATTACAATAATTTACAATTAATTTACAAAAATAATCAAAAACTCTTCTCTTGGAAATAAACTGATTAAAACCGGGAGATCAGTTAATATTAATATTTTTACGTGCCAAGTTTTAAAATCTTTTTTTCACTGTCAAATTTGGAACGCAGAAAAAGCACATATTCAACATTTTCCTCGCCACCGAAGCTGATATCATAAAAAGTCTCTGAACCCAACTTAAATCTGCTCAGATAACCTTTAAAGTTTTTATGGCGATTAAGGGAGTGGGATAGTCAGTCATATCTAAAATTCATTTAACTACAATTATTTAATACATATTTACCTCTTTTAGAAATCTTCTAATCTATTATTTATTAGTTATTAGTTATTTTATATATGGTTCAGAATGTTTTAAAACTAAATATTAAAGTTCCTTACTTTTATTTTATTTGAATTTTTTAAATAATTACTAGACCTATTTTAAAAATTCAAAATATAGGAATTTTAAACTTTTGCTTGACAATTACAAAATAAATTCTTGAACAATAAAATAATGCGAGATTTAGAATGTTTTGAAATTTAATTTTTGTTGACGTCAGCAAAGCCAGGCGAAAGTAATAATAATTTTCATTTTATTTGACTAAATTAATTCAGAAAATATAAGTGTATTTTTCTTGCATATCAAAGTATTTGCAACCATCATTTATAGATTCAAGCATTCTTGAAAGTACTTCAGATTATAAAAATAATATCCCAAACATAACTGACAATATTAAATAAATCCTAAAGTTAAAAATAGAATACATTAAAAGATGTTACTTACAGTATAAAATTGCAGTCTTGAAAAAAATTGGCTTGTAAAAATTGGTCACATGATAGACTAATTGTAGTCGCATCAATTAGTTACTTAATTAAATTAATAACTGCTAAACTTTACTATAATTTTACTGTTAATTGTTAAATTTTACCGTAATTCATAGAGTTATGCACAGCAAATCAGAGCAGTAAATGGGCTACGAAACAACACATAATGCTTATCTTCACTAACCTTTCATGTTCATAGCTTTACAGGGCTTAAGAGTGTTGTGGTTTTCTCTATGTGATAACAAATTTTATTGTTATAGGTTATGTACTGCTAACCCTTGAACAAGGTGGGGATGAGAAAGTATGCGATATCGACTTACGTTTAACATTCTGAAGACTTACTTATTAATACTCTACTTTTGTACGTTTATAATAGCCAGTAAACAACATTTTGAAAGTTTTAGGTATGCGTAAACATCTAAAGATATCATATTTTTACAAATGCGTTAGCTAGAAAATTAAAAATATTTTAAAGCAAAGCAAAATTATAGAACAATAAGAAAGAAAATTTACATTTACAACAAAGAAACGTATCTATAGACGTCTAAATTTAGAATCTTTATTTATAACTTAAGGTGTTTTACGCATTGCTTAAAAAACACAAAAGGTGTGATGCCTTTTTATTAAGATTCCCTTATATTTTAAATGAAAAATGTTACAAAATAGACTAACATCTTCATTTTTGCGCATCCGCGACTGACGTAGCTCTTACTTAATTATGCTAAATTTCAAGCTAGTTTAGCTCAATAGTTTCAAGCTAAGCCACCAGATTGAAACATTAAATTATTCGGTGCTTATGACAAAAATTTCCAACTGATAATTTCCAGTCATGCTCATCATGGTGAAATTTCTTGTAAATCCACTAAATATTTTCATGCTTTGTGAAAATTTAGTTCTGTTTAGGAGATGAAACCTCTACAAACTGACGTACTGCCAATGAAAACCTATTGTTATGTATTGTTTGAGTGTTACTCTGGCAGTTGGCTGCAAATTATGGTGCATATTATTCGTGTTATATTTGATGTAACACCAAAGAAAATATATATTGTGTAATTATTTTTAAGATGGCTATGTTTTGAATTTAGACGTTTCTATTACGATATTTGCCCTCGTGACAGCTATAGGTGTCCCAGCTATGCAGCGACACTCAACAACCTTGCGTGTCATGTAACAAAGCTGAAAATAAAAGGTAAATGTCCGTTGAAAAGTGTATATTTGTAGCCAAAATAAATGAATAAAGACTAATATGTCTGTTATGTGACTCCTGTAATTTATTCAAGAAACTCATGAATTTGCATAGTACACCTTTCCTATATGGACTAGAAATAATTATATGCATCACCAAATCTATTCCAGTTAGGATCTGAATGCTAAAGTGAAATATATTTTGATTTTGAGCATAAAATTATCTGAAATTTGTTTATAAAAAATATAATCCAAATGAAATATGTAGAATCTAAGTAAGCAACGAAATTGTCTTAGAAAAAAGTCAAAAGTATTTTTGGTTATTTTAAGTAAGTTGCTTCCTTTTTTACTTTCTTATAAAGGAAGAAGTATTGTAACCGCGAAAGATTTGGATATCATATTTAAATGAAAATATCATATCCATTTTGACCGCTCTCGATTCCATTTGAGCGATATTTTTGCTTTATATTTGTATGTACGGACAGAATAAACGACTCTTTTACCAAACCGGAATGTGAAATGGATTCAGAAGCGATTTTTCGTGACGTCTATACGTACGTAGATATGTATCTCGCATAACTCAAAAATGAGTAGCATCAGAAATCTGCAATTCTGTACTTTATACTGCTATAACATGTAGATGTGCAACTCCCATTTTGTTTGCAATCGGCCGCATCAAAAGTGTGTAAATCCACTCTGTTACGCGACTCGATGAGCTAAGTTTTTTTATTCTTATATGTTTTTAAATTGTGCATTTTTTGCTTTAAAAGTGATTGAATTACATTATTCTTATATCCGGTTAAAGTTTTTATGCCTTAGTGAATCTTCATGCAATAGTTGCATAATTGTCAACGATTTAAAAGTTGTTTAAGTTCCACTATGCCTAACGACTGCCTAACGCCATTTGTTTACATTTGAAGCTTAATAGCATACAGAATTAAGTCAGTTTCTGCACCACCTTTAGTGTCTTTTTGCCGAATGGGGCCAAACGTTCTGCTCACCGAAAATCTGTCCTTCTGGCTAATTTTAATTAATTTAAACTCTAGTTTTAATTGTCAAAATCGTCTTTTAACGGTTTTAAACTCTATTTAATGTTTCAGGATTTTCTGTATTTTACAATTTTTAATGAAAACATTTTAAGATTTTATGTAGTTTTACTTGCTGCGAAATGAGAACTGATTTGATTGAATGAGAAGTACATCTCTAATGAAATTCGGGGAAATAAGTTTAAATGAAATACAACAAAAAAATGTGCATTCTTTAATAGGCCGTAAAGGAAGTCATCGGTGTCCAAATCAGATTTTTTCATTTAGTTGCAGCGAAAAAAGAAAATACAATGAAACTGGTCTAAAGAAATCTGCTTTATTTAACCTGATAGCTAGTTTTGTGTTAGTGAATTTTATAAGTGTTTCTTCTCATACCTTTTTTGTGAACTTAAACTTGTCTACTCTCATATTTGTTAGCTGCTCATTCTAAGCCCCATTTAATTCGATAAAATTTCCTGATGCCAAAGCTCGCGAAATCTTTTACGCCTCACGAAATGTATAAAATATATATAAATCATTCAATTTTTGTTTGCGAAGATATGTAGAGTAGACACAGCTTAATAAGATCATGGCTATTGTTATCATAGGGATATTTTTATAGAATTGCTGAAGTATCGTCCTTTTATTTGTATATGGAAACATTATTGTGATTAGCAACTCGTTTAATGTTATCAAAATATTTTAAACTAACTTCACCAGATAAGCGATAAATTTGCCAGATTAGGTCTAATTGACAGAAACTGACAAATGACAGAGACATATCCTCAAGTAAGGGATTAAGTCACCAAACAGCATAATTTTGATTTAAGGCAATCCTATAGAAGGGAGCCAATATCGAATGGACTGAACTGTTGAAGACTGGAATTCTTGAATAGCTTGCTTTTTCGCACTAAAATACTATTTTCCTTATCTAGATCAACAAACTTTTACGAAATTTCTGTTTAGAAAACGTTTTTAATTTTATCCTGTTTATATTTACATTATTACATTACATCCTGTTTATCATGGAATTTAGCAAAAGGCTTAAGGATCTGAGAGATAAAGTTCACTTGTTAATTGCTATAATTAACCCCATTTATAGACAATCAACTATTAATTATTTTCTAATTGAAAAAGGTGTACCAATGAGCATTTATATGTTTCTAGTCATAATTACATAAAATTAGTTAAATTCCATTCATACTCGGAAGGATAATTTTTCATCGCTTAATGTTATCATTCGGTTAATGTTACCAAAATAATCGCGGACAAACGTCATCACATGAAGGGGCTCCTATTGTACATCTGAATTATATAAGCGCTTTTTCTCACACATTTTTTATGAACTTACACATGTCTACAATTTTATTTACTGCCTCTTTAATTTTTTGTTTATGAAGTTATATACACCTGAATTTTATGAAACTGCCCTAACAATTCTATATTTTCGCGTATTCATACACTCTAGTAAAACGGTAACATATGCAAAAATTGCATGCCAAACTTCGATTAGATCGTAGAGCCACATACAATTTTTCGAAGTCAGGAAACCAAAGAAATGCGTAATGCCCTAGTCGGGATTCGAATTCCAAATCTTTCTATGCTGGTCGAAATGTTTTCCAGTTACACTACGAAGGCACGCGGTAAGAAGCAAGAACGCCCTTGCATTCTCCCTTACCTCAAGGTTGACCGAGGAGGTGGAACCTAATCGCCAATCGCAATGGTAACAAATTAGCATCCGCCATCTTTTAGCTCTGATATTACTTGTACAGATTATTACAATGTTTGAAGTCGGGGAAAATGAAGTATCAGAACTGCTCTTGGGCGAATACGAACTCCAGAGGTCCGGATTTTAAGCGATTGTGCTTCCAATTACACCACGAAGGCATGTAGTAACGACGAAGAAAATACTTATATTGTTCCTCACCTAAAAAGCGACTGAAAAGGAGTGAACCCAGTCGCTAAATTCTAGCGGTCACAAAATCCCCATCCACCACCTTTTAGATACCACATGACATGGATCACAATTTTTTATGAGTTATACAGTATAAGTGTGTGTTTCTCAATATTATCGTTAAGCGTCACCCTAATAGCTTCAAGTGTCAATTTTTCTTACCCATTGAAAGTAATTCCGAACTGAACTTACGAATATCTCACAGATAACTGTATTCATAATAATACAGGAAAGATCAGAAGGTTACTGGTTTGATACATTACATTAAAACCGGAAGCGAAGATTACATTATATTGACACAGATTTTAAATACTGTATATGGTACTTACTCCAAAAAGAGCTGCTCCGACATTTAGGCGTTAGGACAGTGTTTAATCCTCGTGATGCCTCAACTTTTGGTAC